AGGATCAATACTTTCCAGCAGACCTTCTGTTGATGTCATCCTGCTATGAGGATGGATTCTGTTATGTAGAAACGATGAACCTTGATGGGGAAACAAATCTAAAGGTAAAGCAAGCCTTGGATGCAACTGCATTTGCAAATGAGGATTCTAACTTCCGTGACTTTAAGGCTACAATCAAATGTGAAGACCCAAATGCAAATCTTTATACCTTTGTTGGGAGCATGGACTTTGAAGAGCAACAATATCCACTTTCACCACAAAATCTTCTCCTGAGAGACTCCAAACTCCGAAACACAGAATATATATATGGGGCTGTTGTCTTTACTGGTCATGACTCAAAGGTTATTCAAAATTCTACTGATCCGCCTTCAAAAAGAAGCAAAGTTGAGAAGAAGATGGATAAAATCATATATCTGTTATTAGGCATTCTATTTGTGCTGGCATTTCTTGGATCTATAGTCTTTGGCGTCATGACTAAGGATGATCTGAAAAATGGGAGGTCAAAAAGATGGTATCTTCGACCAGATGACTCTACTATTTACTTTGATCCCAAAAATGCACCAGCTGCTGCAATTTTTCACTTTCTGACGGCACTGATGTTGTATAACTACTTTATCCCTATATCCTTGTATGTGTCTATTGAAATTGTCAAAGTTCTTCAGAGTATCTTCATCAATCAAGACATTCACATGTACTACGAAGAAGGTGACAAACCAGCACATGCCCGCACCTCCAATTTGAATGAGGAACTTGGTCAAGTTGACACTATACTCTCTGACAAGACTGGCACTTTGACCTGCAACTCAATGGAGTTTATCAAGTGTTCTGTGGCTGGAACAGCTTATGGCAGTGGTGTCACTGAAACTGAGAGATCTATGGAAGGCAGAAATGGTTTGCCAATGCTTAATGGCAATGGCAATGGAAATGTCTATAAGCACAATGAGAATGCTACAGATACAAATCCCCCTGTCAAAGGCTTTAATTTTAAGGACAGAAGAATTATGAACGGAAACTGGGTTAAGGAACCTCATGCAGATGTCATCCAGAAGTTCTTCCGCCTCCTTGCAACTTGTCATACAGCTATTCCCGATGTCGATGAAAACACAGGAAAGATTTCATATGAAGCTGAATCGCCGGATGAAGCAGCATTTGTAATTGCTGCCAGAGAAGTTGGTTTTGAATTCTATCAGAGGACACAGACAAGTATATCAGTTCGTGAATTGGATCCTAGGTCTGGAAGTAAAGTCGAAAGGTTAGTCTAGCTTTGGCATAATACTTCGCTAAGAACCTCTCTTTCCAGTTGAACAGTCAACTCTCTAATTCATTTAATGTGCATGCATGAAATGCGGATTAACTTGCTTGCCTAATTATTTTCTGCTGTGCTTGAATTGATAATTATGGATGGACAGCATTTTTCTTCTCGCTCTTTCTATGTGAAGAGTGGTGTTAGCAAGACTATTGCTGGACTTATCGACTTTAACTTTCACAGGTCATACAAGCTTTTAAATGTTTTGGAGTTTAATAGCGCCCGGAAGAGAATGTCTGTCATAATAAGAGATGAAGATGGAAAAGTATTATTGCTATGCAAAGGTGCTGACAGGTATGTGAATTGTGATCAATACCATTTTCATTCAAGTCCTTACATCTACTTCAATTGCATTGTATCATCATAATGTGATCTCCATGCAGTGTCATGTTTGAGAGGCTTGCCAAGAATGCTAGCAGATTTGAAGAGAAAACGAAGGAGCATATCAATGAGTATGCTGATGCAGGCTTACGGACATTGGTACTTGCTTATCGTGAACTTGATGAGGAGGAATACAAGGAATTTGATAGGAAATTCTATGAAGCAAAGAATTCAGTTAGTGCAGAGAGGGAGTCATTGATTGATAAAGTAACTGATCGCATTGAAAGGGATTTAATTCTTCTTGGTTCCACAGCAGTTGAGGACAAGCTTCAAAATGGGGTGAGTGGAATGCTTAGGTTTATTCAAAAGGGTCAGAATATGTGCCCCTCTTCTATAAGCCTCCTACTTTCTTCATTGTTGATATCATTGGACTTGAAGTTGAACTTTTCTGCATTTCCTCTGCTTACTAGGTCCCTGAATGCATAGACAAACTTGCTCAAGCTGGGATTAAGATCTGGGTTTTGACTGGCGACAAGATGGAGACTGCGATAAATATTGGGTATGGCTGTTTAGATAATGAAGTTTCCTTCTTTATGTTCGTGACCAATTATTTTACTCACCCAAGATTGGGAATTTGCAGTTTTGCATGTAGTTTGCTTCGTCAAGGGATGAAACAGATTATTATAACTCTGGAAACACCAGAAATTCAAGCCTTAGAAAGGACGGGAGAGAAGGATATGATCACTAAGGTAAATCTATATACAGCCCATGACCTTTTATTACGTGCAGGATGAATATTTAGTTATTATTTTATTATCCTGGTTGACGAGTCTAATGGCAGTCATTGAACTGGTGGACTGGTGGCTTACTGAATCACATTTTAAGATTTTGACAATACCATTTGCAGTTTTTGTTAAAAAGGAAAAATCCCAAAAATATAGGAAATAGCAGCACTTGCGTTTTCATTTTTTAGGAAATGTGAATATAGAAACCTTGATTATTCGTGTAGAATTTTGTTTTCCTTTACTGAGGAAGTGATGGATCTGTAGCGTTGGGACTGAGAGGAAGTTTCAAAATGTGGTTCTACATAGTTTAATTTGTTAAATTGCCAGCATGTTCTTAGGACTTTTCTGATTATCTTTTAGGCATCAAAAGAAAGCATCGTGCACAAGATCACTCGGGCAAGGTCTCAGCTCACTGCCTCAAGTGGAAGTTCTGAGGCTTATGCATTGATAATTGATGGGAAATCACTTACTTATGCTCTAGAGGATGATGTGAAAAATGCATTCCTTGAGCTTGCCATTGGATGTGCGTCTGTTATTTGCTGTCGCTCATCTCCAAAGCAAAAGGCAATGGTAATTGTTTAGATCCTTATCTCGATGTTTGAAAGCGTCCTTTCAAGTTTTATCATCTCAACAATGTGGAAAAAAAAAAATTCAGGTCACTAAGTTGGTTAAACTTACAACGGGAAAAACAACATTAGCAATTGGTGATGGTGCAAATGATGTTGGAATGCTTCAAGAAGCAGATATTGGTATTGGAATCAGTGGTGCCGAAGGAATGCAGGCATGGAAAACACTTATTATGCTATATATATATATATATATATATATATATATATATATCCGAGCTATTTAACCTAGCCTTTTGTTTTGTTTCTAACATTTTCTGTTGCTTTTTGTCACATTTGATCACTTCAGGCAGTCATGTCGAGTGATATTGCAATCGCTCAGTTCAGATATTTGGAGCGTCTACTACTCGTGCATGGACATTGGTGTTACAGGAGATTATCATCAATGGTAATTCCATTCACCAATACTTGGTCAATTTTATCTTCTGAAAGTAATTTATCTCTCTTCTAACGTTTCTCCTATTTGCTGGCTCTTCTTTTTGGCAGATATGCTACTTTTTTTACAAGAATTTCACATTTGGCTTTACGATTTTCTTATATGAGGCATACACTTCGTTCTCTGCACAACCTGCATATAACGACTGGTTTATGTCTCTCTACAATGTCGTGTTCTCTGCTCTGCCCGTTGTGGCTCTCGGGGTGTTTGACCAAGACGTATCTGCAAGATACTGCCTTAAGGTAATAATGTGGCAATATGGCATTTTTTTCTTGGTTTTGTGGGGGAGACGTTAAGTCCTAGGTATATTGTATGCATGTATTTATTATATACCAAACTAGATGACCATTGCAAAACAATTAAAAATAAAAACTTATGAATCCTCAGCACCATTTGATAAAATTAATCTGAAATAAACTACAACTAAGCTTATATCTCATCTTATCTTCTAAAAGATGGTTTTGATGCGATCAATGTATCCTAAACCCTTACATTTGATGTGGCAGTTTCCTATGTTGTATCAACAAGGTGTGCAGAACGTCCTCTTCAGCTGGCTTCGGATAATCGGCTGGATGTTTAATGGTCTGTGCAGTGCGTTGATCATTTTCTTTTTCTGCACAAGTGGAATGCAGCATCAAGCATTTAATCCCGAGGGGAAGACCGTAGGGAGGGATATTCTCGGGGCGACGATGCTGTCGTGTGTTGTTTGGGTTGTCAACTTGCAGATGGCACTCTCTGTTAGCTACTTCACAATGTTGCAAGTTATTTTCATCTGGGCTTCAATCTTTATCTGGTACCTTTTTCTGATGATATATGGAGCCTTCCCTGCCAGCATTTCGACAAATGCATATCGCGTGTTCCTCGAAGCCCTTGCTCCTGCAGGGTCTTATTGGGTTCTGCTGATATTTGTGGTGATCTCTACCCTCATTCCATTCTTTGTATACTCAGCATTGCAGATGAATTTCTTCCCCATGTACCATGAAAAAATACAGTGGATAAGGCACGATGGTCAGGGTCAGATAGACGATCCCGAGTTTGTCAATATGGTCAGGCAAAGCTCGATAAGACCGAGTACTGTGGGATTCACTGCTCGTTTGGCAGCCAAAATAAGAAGAGAAAAACCATAGTACCTGATTCCCAGAGACGGTGATCGATCGTTGTATGTTTAAATTCGGAAGTTTGCTACATTAACTGATTTGTACAGATGCATCAGCCTGCCTTATGATACGATGATAGAAAATGCTTCTTGTATTATTATTATTCTTGGCTTCCTCTTTTAGGAAGGAGTTTTTTTTTTTTTTAGCTTTTCCACGTACTTTGTATAATAGACAGCTCAGAGATGAGCTTTAGATCATGTATTATTGCCACAATAATGAGCACAGCCTTTCCTGTTGTTCTTTAACTTCATTTCAATAGAATTGTTTGCTGATAGATGCCCAGGCTACTCTCCCTCCCTCTCACATACAAAGGAAAGGAGAAAACAAAAGGAACTTTTTATTAACTAAGTTATGCTCTTTCTTCCTCGCTGCTGATTATGTTATTTCTGATGTTTTGGTAAATTTTGGCACAAAAACAGCAGGAAATGAAGAACGGATATAGAAGGAGAAACAGAAAGGGCGTCTCATGTAGAAGGTACTTGAATTAATTGATACTGTACATGTGTAGGATTAAATGGCTCTTCATCTCTGCAGGAACCTGAAACTGAGTTACCCTTCCTTCCCCAAAAGCTTCCAAAACCAAACTCTCCCTTCTCATGCAAATCCTGCATCACCCTCTCAATCTCTTCCATACAACAACTCAAACCCAACCCATCTTCTTCACTTCTCATACATCTTCCATTACTACTGCCTCTAACCTCATCTTCCATTACCATCTTTTCCTCTTTTTCTCTCATTCTTAGCCTTCTTTTGGCGAAGTCTCTCGTTTTTCGAACGAGTTTACAGGGAAGCTTGAGTAACAAAAGGAGAAGGATATGCAACGCCAGGCATTGGCAGCAACAGCATATGACAATACAGTCGGCCGCTAGGGTGTTCATATCTTCCATGGCGGCCGAAAATGGTTGAAGGGAGGAAGGAAGTGATGGAGGAGAAGATGATCGAAAGATGAAGACATTGCTTGCTGAGGAGTTAGTTCCCTGCCTTGAAAATGGATTTGGGATGAGGGGAGGTATTAGGAAAGGTGAAGCAAAGAAAGTAGGAAAATGGAATTTTCCTTTGCATCATTGCTTAGCTTCAAATCTAACTTTTTTTGTATAGCATCCATATAGGCTTTGACAGATGAGATGGGAATGTTGAAGTTGAAAGCCAACGAAAACTAAAATGTCTTTCCCTTTTGGGTATCATGGACCAACAATGCCAAATCTAAGCAAAGTAAGTTATTCCCGAAGAATTTTCAATATTTTAGAAATTTTATATTGGAACATATCGAATAAAAATATACAAAGTGAATGATAAGTTTTTTTTTTTTCTTCTTCTTTTGAAGATGTTCTACAAATATTTTGAATTTCATTCATTAAAATAATATTAAATTTGTAATCTATTGTTTTCTTATTATTGTAACTTAACTTGAAACCTAACTACTTATTCTCAAGCTTCAATCTTCAGCTTCACACATCAATTTTCTTTGGGTGAATCTTTGGCTTATTGATCTTCTTAGGTTTGGCCTATATTCTTATATTGACATGAGATTGATGTTCTTGAGTCCGCGTTCGACTTATTGATGTTCTTGAATCAACCTTTGACTTCTTGATGCTCTTAAATCAACCTTTGACTTATTGACACTCTTGATCGAGCCTTAAACTCGTTGATGTTCTTAAATTGATCATTGGCTTCTTGATCTAATCTGAAAGTTAGAGGATTCGAACCTTTGATCTATTAATGAACAACATATGGTTTAACTAGTTAAGCTACCCGTCTCCCAGCCGATTAAAATGAAAGACCAAATAGGTACCAATTAAATTTATAATTTAACCGAAGAATCCTAAATTTAGAAATTCGATTATAACAATAACAACAACTAAAGCCACTTCTCCCAGCAGGCCTTAAATTTTTGCCAGCTTACAGAATAAATGCCAAACCCCAAAGCCAAATGATTTAGTTTTGAATTTTGATCCACCTTATTCTTCTCTTTTTTTCCTTCAAATTCATTTGCAGCAAATGATGAGTTGAGCTGCATGATAGATTAAGATGGCATCATCACCAGGAGAGTGTGTTGTTCTAAGATACACAAATTCCAACTTTCTTAACTTGTGTGTATGTGAGTTGGATGAACAATAAAGGAAGAAGTACCTAAAGAAGATCAATTATGTCTGTTTGTCAATCTTGAATTCCTTCTGGACAATACCTCAGCTGCCCAACTCTTTCCTACATCAGTCTGAAACTTTCCTGGAAAATGCACAGCAGTATTCATAGTGTCATTGAAACTTTCTAAAGTTAAGGGGCTGGAAAACAAAATCATCAAAATTTATGGAATAAATTTATAGTTTAACTTAAAATGGCAAAATAAGTAGAATGTACCAGCTGTTGAATGGAAGAACTCATCAAGCGCCCTCCCATGTTCTGCCAATGTAAATAATTCATGTCAAATCTCAAATTTCAATCAGCTAATGTTTGTAGTGCAACCTGAACGTGGTTTTGGAGTTACCTATTTCATATTCAAATGCTTGAAGGATCAATTCAACCTACAAAATACACGACATTCAGCAAAGGAGTGTTCTTAATCTGACATAACCACTAACATAAGCATAACACGTTTACTCCTTCCCTCGAAGTCGGAAGTTCGAATACTTACCTTTACATTCGTACTAGAAAGAAAAAAAAAAGCTTATGGAACCAACATGAAATACAATTTGCAGATAGTTTATCGAGATCAAACTCAAACAACATACTTTATCGAAGTCCTTCACAAGATTAGCCTCCAATGAAGAATTGTTTTCGTACTCGGTCCAAAGTTCTTTGATCTCTTCAGCTAAAAAAAAGGTCCAAAACAATCGAGGAAGCATGAGTTAATGGCAATATTTTCCGGCCACTAACCAAACCCAAATCTCATAGGAATATTTTCGTACCTCTCATGCCTCCACCAAGAAGTTGGCACATTTCATTTAAAGCTGCTGACTCTCTTCTGCTCTTTTCTTCTTTCGGCACACCATCAGATGGCGTAATATCTCCAACAATAGCTATCATAGTCCAAATACAATATCAACCATTATCACTCAGGAGAAAAAAAAACATGTACATTCCTCCTATATCCAGTCACAAGCGGTGTTCGTTGTGTCTAACTCACTTAGGATCATGAAATAGACGATTTAAAGTAAACAGCACAAAATTTGGTTGCAATATTATGTACAAAAGTGACACCATATAAGTCATAAACAAACAGCAGCAACCTCAAGATAAACTCTTGAGCAGTAGTTCAACGATGGGTTTTATGTAATACAAGCCATCGCTAAATGGTAGAAAAAGGGTTGAAAAACAAGTCTCTGGAGTTTCAATATAGAATTAGAATGAAAAAAGGAAAGCAGACTCAGAATTAAAGCAATATAAATTTTATATTGCTTTAATTTTGAGTCTGCTATCAAAACTCATATAGTCAATCCCAACCTAACTCAGTAGATAAGACACAAACTACCATCCTAGAGGTTGATGGTTCAATCCCTGACTCTCACCATGGTTAAACAGAGATAAAATGGCTCATTTCATGCCATTAGATTGCCTATACCGAACCCCCAAAGATTCCATGGCTCCGCCACCACATCCCACCTCACTAAATGAGACCCCTCCCCATCCCCTCGTCGACCCCTTCCGTAAGAAATCCCTCGTAAACTTCTCTAAAGTTTTACTGATCGACATAGAACCTTAACAAGGAGAAATTAAGTCGGGATGCCACTCAAAACAAACTGAATAAGAACAAGTCTATCTCCATTAGTTGAATGGCAATATCATTATCATTACTCGACAAGAATCTGCATAATTGCTAGAATTAAGTTCTGGAAATGATAAGAAATTGTGTCAGAAAGTACCTTCAGCAATATCATGCACAAGAGCTATCTTGATACACCTGATCAAAGGACAACAAGGTCATGGTGAAACAAAGTTCAATAGAAAGACCTTCATAATAGATTTTTAAAGGCTCAGGTGAAAAAGTGCAACCTTTCTCTATTCACTCCTGGAAGATCACCGGCTATCAAACTCATCAAAGCCATGCGGTACATATGATCAGCAATTGATTCGGGACCATTTATTCCATGATTGATCCAGCCCTTTCTCTTCGTAGTCTACAAGGAAGAGAGAATAGCCAAGTGATTATTACCTCTAACAGAGATAATTTTCAGGTCACCACTTTTCTCACACAACACGCATAAACAAATACCAGTTCCTCTCCCAACAATGAAAAGAACATGAAAATGAATTCTAATTGTGGTTCGTTTGATATCTCCCAGAACCAGGCAAAAACAAAAGGTTAACGAATTCTTTATAAGAAGGGGAAAAAAAAAATTCCCCCAATTTCTCATTAGCCAATCTGCGTCACGTGACCAAATTGTGTGGATACCTTAAGCCGATGGCACAATGTAAGGAAATCGATAACCGATGACGACGACGGCGAACCAGTGGACTCGATCAAAGGTCCAGATTCCCCCAAACGGAGCGGCTGCTTGGATCCATAGCCATCGGGAGTCGGCGCCTGAGCACGAACTGAGACGAGGCTCCGCCTAGGGAAGCCAGTGGGCGAAACAGGGTGCAAGAAGATGCGAGAAAAGAAAGCGAAGGAGGAACGAGGCAGCGAACGAAGCGGCGGAGGAGCGAGATGGGTCGAGGAATTGACAGCCATTGCTGAAGAAGAGCGAGATGGGTCAAATAATTAGGACAAGATTGTGAAGGGAAATAAAGAATCCGCGCTACAAATGAGTTGGGGAATTGGATTTTGAGAACGATAAAATAGAGGCCGGATTTGCTGGTGCGTCTCTCGGCCGCAGGAAGGATGAGAACCACCGCAAGAAAGGGGCTGTGTCCGATAACGAAGCACGTGCGGCTAACAACAATGTCTGTTCTGTGCGCCTCTCTGCAATCTCACTTCTTTCATTTCTTGGCTTTTTCTCAATTGAGCATTCATGCCCATAATAATTATTTTTAAAAAAACGAAAATGTACTTTCTTTTATTGATATTTGACTTACATTAGACCCGCCTTTAATCTTACGGCTGAGAAGGCGGGGTAGGATTTAGGACGAGTGACGTATGAGCTGAAAGGGTGAGCGTAAGGCCTAATTGCTGGTTGAACTTCGCACGTAGGAACAAATTTTAGCCCATGACCGACTTCGGCTTTCGCAAGAGCACCAGTAGGTGGGTCGCCCTTTATTTCTAGGCGGTCGAACAAACATGATTTATATCATCTTTAGGTTTTCAATTATAGTAGTCATTTCTTCATTCGTACAAGGTAGTGTGGTTGTAGCTTGATATCTTTTTAGTACTCTGAAGCTAGAAGAATGGGCTATTGAGCTTTCTCGAGAGAACTACCACAATGTTATGTCCTAAAATCGAACTATATGGCGCCCTTTCGAATGACCTCGGGTGGAGTCAATACACAAATATTGCCAAACCCTAAACCCTATAATTGCATTCATGTGTATATACTTTAAATATCATAATCAACCATTCACTTATAATCCACCCGATATGATAAAACTAAGTCCGAACCGGGGCTTTGGTGGGAACGATGGTAGTGCGATGTAAATCGATTTAGAAGGGTAGCGTTAAAGTTTGACGAGTGTTTGACATTTCCTCCAACGTAGAACGAAGCCTACAACGGGGGAGTAAGGCTAAGGCCCAACCTCCGTCCCGGAAAAGCCCAGAGGGAAGAGTGGCAGTTCGCATAAATCTTCAACTTCTTTGAGGTGTTTGATCCTCCATTTTTGTTCCTCATGATTTCTGGAAACCTTTATCCATCCGTCTCCACATCATGTATTTTCCCACCAAAACGCACCTCGACCCCAGCTCATGTTCATCTTCCTCTTCTTAAAATCTCTGCCAAACTCAGATTAATCAGCTTCGAATCCGTCTCCCTCTCTTTTCCGACCTTCATTGCTTCTAAATCCAGTGTCAAGTCCACTAGATTTTCGAATTCGGTGGCAAAAGTTTATAGCTTCGAGGGCCAAAACCCCACTTCTTTGTCGGATTTGGAAGACTTGTCTGAGAATGGAGTTGTCTATAAGAAGACGCTGGCGATGGTGGAATGCTCCATGTTCGCTGCACTTAATGGTTTGGTCTACTTCTTGAGCAATTCACTTGCTCTTGAGGTTTGTATCTCTCAGTTTCTGCGAATTCTCTTCTTTCCCCCTCTGCTGCTGTTTCTATGGTTTCCGTCTGCTGTTCTTCATACATAATGTTTTTCTGGTTATTTTTCTTGAATAAGACGGATACCCCAACTCCGTCCGTGTGGTGGTTGGTTCTTCTTTGATATCAGTTTGAAATGTCTTTTCTCCCTTTGATGTATGTTTCCCTTGAAACAATTAACTACACCCACTTCAAATTTATCACAATTGCCTAATCGTATGTGATTACCTAATACTTCTAATGTGATTTAAAAAAAAAAATCAAAATGATCGTTTTCTGAAACATGACATCATGGGGCTTGTTTAGGGTACTCTTAAATCTACCCCCAATAAATTGAAGAGAATTCCCATGATGAACAACGGGCTTGTTAATGGTCTTGGGTCTAGCAACAAACTGACTTTGACGATGAACAACAAAATTAGTATCCGTGGGAAATTTGAAAATGTAACAGGTTCCCAATGAACTCTTGGTCTTTATATGATGATGATTGAGGATGTGTGATGTATATGCCATTTTGAAGCGATCTTTTTCTTGAGGAAACCAACTAAAGTTATCTCATATTTTGAAGTTCCCAATAAACGTGTCTTATAGTTTTCTTAACATGAATACCAATTTGTTTATGAAAGTAATCATAATATTGTTAGAAATCACGACTCTCTACAATGGTATGATATTGTCCACTTTGAGCATAAGCTCTCTTTGGTTTCTCCAAAAGGCCTCCTACCAATGGAGATAGTGTTCATTACTTATAAACACATGATCTTCCTCTTAATTAGCCAATGTGGACTACTCCGTTCAATAATCCTCAACAAATATAACATGCTTCTTTCTCATAAATTTTCACGTGTTCAAAGAAATTTATGTTTTTTATTAACTTAGATGAAGTGACCTCTTAGATTTCTTCAATTCTTTTAGTAGCAGTTTAGTTTCTCGAATTTTGATTTCGTTCTGTTTTTACTTGATATTGGACAGAATTACTTCGGCTGTTTCTTCTGTCTACCGATAGTAATCTCTTCAATGAGATGGGGCATAGCAGCGGGGAGAAAAACCATGGTCTGTAGCTTCCAAGGATTCAGTTGTTCAACAATTGATTTTATGTTGTCTTGTCATTCGTATTACATCTAAGTTGTCGCATCTGATCTTCTTTCAAGACAGGTGGCAACATTCTTGCTGTTGCTGGTTTTGTCTGGTCCAGTGAAAGCTTTAACATTTCTGGTGAGCGTGCTTTCATAGTTCATCTTCTCAAATCTTAATTGCCTGTGGATTTATTTTCTTGTTTCAGAAATAATAATATCATATAAAAGAGGTTGCCTTTTAACCTATCAACCTTGTAAATTCTATCTTATGTAGAACAAAAAGAGAAAAATCAGGTCAATGGCCTTCTTATACCAGTTTTAAAAAGCTAAAAAGGTGGCCTTGAGGCTGCTCTCCCCTATGATTAAATAAGTGGTCATAAAAACTATACAAAGTGCATAATCAGGTATTATCAGACATAATTATGTTAAAGTACAAAAATAATCACCTTAATCAATTTGAACGTTCTAAAATAACAATCCTAAAGGCGTTTGTCTGATGATTTTTTGAAGTTAATATTATTGCAAATTATGATTTGAATCGTAGAATTGTTGATCCTGTCTCTGCAAGTACAAGTTTAAATAACCGTTTTCCTTTTAAACTATACATACCTTTTTAACATTGCTGCATTCCTAGTGGCATAGATAGGCTAAGTGCTAATAGATCATTAGAGAAAATCTGATACAAGATAGCTTTTGTGGCTTCAGCTTGTAGTGCCTTGTCCAGAGTGTTTTTGTAACATTTTGGGCTTGATGTTTTTTCCTTTTTGTGTATATCTTTTGACGTTCCTTAACCCTTATCGTATTGAGAGGGGAACGGTATTTAATAGTTTACCTTCTTCAGCAGAATGCCTGACGTTGTTGTATGCTTCCTTGTGCAGCTTAGGCATGGTTTAGTGGGGTTGACAATGGGCTCCTTATGGAGGTAGGTGATTTACTACGCATACGACTATCCATAAATACATAATTAACCTCGATTTAGGCAGGCCAGTAAGGATTCATAATGTTTGTGAAATTTCAGCATGCTAGTTGGTCGAGTTTCTTTTGTTAGTTTGGCGATGATGCACTGACCAAAGGCATTAATGGGGAGACATTTACTTCACTTCTGCGCTTTGAACTTATCCTAATAAGAACAGAAAAATAGTAAAAATGACTGCTTTCCTGTTTTGTATCTTCTCAGGCTTGGAGCAAATTGGAGTACCTCAATCTTTCTGTGCACAATCGTATTGTTTCCCTCTCTTTTCGAACGCCCATTTGAACAAATGATGTCTGCTAGTTTTTTTGTAATCCATTCTACTAACCAAGTACATGACTGCGCGTTTAGGTTCGGGCACTCGGGGCAGTGGGTTATGTCTTAATATCTTCATTCTTGATAAGAGAGAACATACTAGCTCTGGTAACAAGCTATTCTGAATCTCTGCTGCTATACTTCAAAGAAATCATCTCTCAAGTCTCGAAATATCTTTCGTGTTCATGCAGATCACCATAAATATTCACGCTTCGCTCACCCTTATCTTCACTGCCTCGGGTGTAAACTTGATTCCATCAATGAGTGCAATATACGCTATTTTTGGGACACTGGTATGTTTTGTATTCTTCAATGAAACTGGTGCAATGTAGATTGTACTTGTATGACATGCATTGTAGAGATTTCATTAGACTTTTATTGGTTAAGCACAAGCAACATTTATTTATTAACATTTCTCCTCTCTGTGCTCTGAAAGGTAATGCTGAACTGTGGATGCTTCATGTTTTTGCTTCATCTTTTGTACTCCATATTCCTTACTAGACTTGGGCTGAAGACTTCATTGACATTGCCAAGGTGGCTGGAGAAGGCAATGTAAACATTCCACAGGTATTAAATCGTTCACGATGATAAATACGCCATTTATTTTTTCCTTTTCTGAACGGAAGAAGAAATTGGTTAGGCTCACTGGAACGTTTACACCTGATATTTTTGCACGCATTGGCGAGCAGATACAGATTGTTTTTTGATATGTTATCATGTTCTAGGTTGAATAAATATGCTTGTCTGAATGTGGAAAATGCTTAGATTTGCAAAGAATGTATGCCATTGATTTTGTCCAATTGGATAAAATGGAAGTAACTGTTAGGTTAGGAAGATTTCGAATTTCTGCTACTGCCCATCTTGAGCAAGCTTGTATTAATGGAGCTTTGTGGACTGGAATATAGGATTTAGGGCTACTAGAGACGGGTTTTAAAGCATTGTTGTCAGCTTCATAGTTTTAAAACTCATCTATTAGGGAGAGGTTTTCACACTTTTATAAGAAATAATTTGCTCTCTTCTCCAACTAATGTGGGATCTCACAATCCACCCCCTTCGGAGCCTAGTATCCTTGCTGGCACATCGTTCAGTGTCTAACTCAGATACCATTTGTAATAGCTCAAGTCTACCGTTAGTAGATATTATCTGTTTTGGCCCGTTACGTATTGCCGTCAGCTCCACGGTTTTAGAACGCGCTTGTGTTCGCTCTACATCCACCTGAATGACTAGTCACCGCAAGTGGGGCATGAAGGTCTCTCTGTTCGAGGGCCTCATAACGCTCTGATGTCTCTCTGCTAGAGGTTAAACTTGTGAAGCTAAGCGGACAATATCTACTAGTACAAGTATTCCTTCCTTTAAAAATGATAAATACAAATGTACAATGATTGAGAAGTGAAGTTTCTAACAAATTAACATT